CTCGTCCACAGTGGGTCCTGTGCTCCATTCCCAGGCACCTGCTTCTTGGTATCCCAGGGGTTTCCATCTGATGCCCCTTCACTCTGGGGCCCAGGAGAGACGAGTGTCCATTAAGGCAACTTTCCACTTTTTTGGAGAGGCCTACAGAGGGCAGCTCATTACCCTAGGAGGGACTCGGGCAGCAAATGTGCCCGGTAAGTAAGGGTCTGCCCACTGATGCCTCACAGATGCCCATGCTGGGAGCCACCCAGTGTCAGGGACACCCCAGCTCCCGTAGCAAGGTTAGGGTCATGGGTGGAGGAAGAGAAAATTAGTCACCAGGAACTTCCAAAGACACCGCCTAACGGATCGCCAGCCCAGACCAGAGGAGATTTGGCCCCCAGTGGGCACAGTCGGCAGAGAACCATGAGGGCTGATGTACCTGGCATAGCTGAAGGCTGAGTCAAGGGACAGGGTGTTTGTTTCCCTGAAAAACAGGATGTTTGCCTTTCCTGAGTTGAGGGCATCTGTAGTCTTTCAGCGTCTCCTGTCTGGGCCAACCCAAGGGGCAGTGGGCCAGGCCCTGAGCCTGGATGTCTCTCTCCTTTGGTTGCCTCTTAGCCGTGACTCCAACACCGCCCTACTGGCCTTGCCCCTGCGTGTCCCTGGCCTTCCCCAGATGCCTCCTCCTAACCAGGGAACTGGCTGCAACAGCCAGGCCAGACGCCATTCCCAGATGGCCAAGCAGGACAGTCAAGAGCGGAGGAAAGGACCAGCTCATATCCTGAGCACCTACCATATGTCAGGCTGCCCTGGGGAAGCTACTTTGTATGCACTATTACATTTCTTTCCCATAGCAGCAGCCTCAGGAAGCATCTATTATGCACTCATTTCACAGAGAGGAAGTCAGAGTGAGGATTCAAGCCCAGGCTGATCTGACTCATTCCTTTGTCTCCTGCCTTCTCCCCACCTGCTTTCTGCACACCCTCTGAATCCTGTGCACAGCTCCTCCCTCACCTACTCATCCTTGCTGCTGCTTTACTCGTGCACTCACCCATGCCTACCCAGTTGCACGCACGCTCCCAAGATCACATGCACCTGTGCCAGATCTACTAGGGTGGGGGTGGGGATTACCTGTGGACAGAAGATAGGGTGTCTGGTCTGGGGGTCCACCCAGGCTGGCCAGGAAGTAAGATTCATGATCAATGTGTGGTCTGCAGACCAATCTAGGACCTTGTTAGAACCTTGAAGAATCTCTCTCACACCCCACCCAAGACCTTCTGAATCAGAATCTGCATTTAGTAAGATCCTCAGAGCACCAAGGCAGATGGGAGGGCCGTGTGCAGAGCTGCTATCCCTGAGTGGGAGGGGGGTGGGCCCTGGGTCTGTCCCCATGTCTCCAGCCCTCTCATAGAAGGCTGCTATACCTCCTGTCTCCTCCTCTGTGCTTGGCAGTGGTGCTGAGGTATAAGGTTATCCAACTCAGCCTTGGAAGGACAGGCTGGCCCCCAACCCTGGTCTAGAAGAATATAAATAGCAAGGCTCCTCCCTGGCCCTTCCCAGGCCTCTGACAAGCTGGGGGCTGGGAGTCACTTCAGGGCTCAAGCAACTGGTAGAGGGCGCCTTCCTTCAATCCCCCTTCTGAAATGTGTCCGTACTCATTTGTGATTCTCCCACCCAGCATCATGGCAGGCTCACTGCCAGGACTCTGGCTGACCTCTCCGGCCTTGAGTGAGGTGTGGGCTCAGTCCCTCACTGTGGGAGCCTGAAGCCTGGGCCAGTGCCCCCTCCCTATTCCTGTCGGGGCTAATTTTAGGGCTGCATTGACAGCTGCCTCAGCTCAACCTGGGTCAGTTCCCAGACACTCAGTGTTGAAGTCAGCGGAGAGTGGAGCAGGCCAGCCTCAGCTTTGGCTGCAACAAATACAACTAGAATCCTTAACCCCTGGCCACCATCTCCACTGCCTGGAGAGCACCCCTTGGTGGTGACCAGCAGCATGGGATGGGAACTGATCCTATTCTCAGCCTCTGCAGACAGACAAACCAAATCCCATGGAAACCCAGAAGTCACAGAGACCAGGGAGCTCAGCACCTTAAAACCTTCTAGCTCAGCACCTTAGAAAAAGCCTGAGGGGCCAAGGTCTTGACCAGGGTCACAAGCAAGTGATGGCAAAGCTGGGGCAAGAGCCCAGGTCTCCTGGTGCCCAACTGGGTTCCAGGGCTGGGTAGAAACGCAGAGGGGCCCAGCATCTAAAATAGCCCATGGAGGTCAAGCCCCGCCATTAGTGCCTTTCTGCCTGGAGGATGCAGAGAGGGGACCCCTCTCACGATCCCTCTCTCATGCCAACCTAACACATACTCCGTGAGCCCCCTTGCTGTGTCCAGCTGCGAAGGATTCAGGAGCAGATGGCACCTGGGACAGAGGAAGGATTTTAGCCTCTGAGGACAAAGGAATGGAGTCCTTGCTGTCAACAACACTCTGGTCTTTGGTCTCCTCCCTGATGAAATGGATGTGGTGATACATACAGACTGGTTGGGAGGGACAGAGGAAATGAATGGAGGGTGAAAAGAGCGCTGGGAACTCTGGAGTGAGCTGTGCCCCTGGGCTGTCAGCTGGCTGAGAACCTAGGCTCCCTCCTGTGGGGAACTGGCTCCCTCTCCCAGGGCATCTGGAGCCCAAGTGGCTCCCACAGTCCTCGCCCTCACTGTTTCTATCCTCGCTCTGTCCCCCATCCAGTGATGTTGCAGGGGAACAGGTCTTAAGGCTGACTGGGCAAGAGGAAAGGAAAATGCAAGCAGGGGTCACAGAGGGAAGCTGGGGTTCCCCCCCTTCTCCCAGGCTTTGCTCCTTCTGTTGCCTCTGTTCCTGCCTGTTGCCATGCCCCTCTCGCTGTTGTCCCCCACCTGCCTAGCTCCCCATTCCTTCCTCTCAACTCCTCTGAATCCCCTAGCCCTGGAGCCCTGTGCCCTTGCCCTTGTGACTCCCTGGACTTGTGTCTGCAAGGGGGAGTGTGGGTAAGCGCATGTACGCACAGGGCTTTGTAGCATGTGGCCCGCACTCAACAAATATTTAACAGCCCACTTCAAATCCTTTTTGAACGAAGGACAGGTGTTCGTGAATAAATAGATAATATTGACTGGCTCTCAAAGCACACACATGCACCCTGAGAAAAACTTTGTTTATCCATTCCCCCTGGGTACAAGTGGATTCCTACCATGGACTCTCCAGATGACTAAGGTGGAGGAATCTAAGGATTGGGAAGGAGGAAAGCATTCCAGGCGGAAGGAGTGCCTTGGGCCAAGGCTGGGAGCTGGAGGATGCTCAGCACTCAGTGCACCGGCATTGTGAGAGGAGCTAGTGAGGCTGGCAGGGTCCGGACCCTGAAGCACCTCGAATGCCAGGCCAAGGAACTGACTTTATCCTGAGGGCAATGGGGAGCCACGGATGAGTTTTGAGCAGGAGATGATGAGGCTGGATTTGCTGCCAGTAGGATCCCTCTCTGGCTGCTGCATGGAGCATGGACTAAAGGCAGAGAGAGCGTGGTGTCAAGAAGCCCTCTGCTCTCAAGGTTCAAGGGGGAGAAGATGAAGTCCGAGGCTGCTGAAGGTGAGAAGTGGACAATGCCCAGGATGTCACAGAGGGATGGCAAGGACTGGACGAGAGATGGGATGAGAGCAGGGAGGAACAGTGATCTCGGGGTCCTGGCCCAGGTGACCAGCTGGCTGGAGGCGCCTTTGCTGAGATTGAGAGAGGAGCAGGCCTGGTGGAAGATGCAGAGTTCAGCTTTGGACATACCAGGGAGTGTCTGCCTAGGGCGGAGACAGGTCAGAGGGCTGGGGCCAGGCAAGTCTGGACAGATCCTCTCTGAGAAAGGTTCTCTGGATGACTTTGAAGTGTCCCAGGTACCCCCAGAACAGTCCCATGGCCCCAAGCAAGACAGGACCTGGACTTGGGCCCCAGAGAAGGGCAGGCAATAGGGACAGCAAAGGGTGTGACCAGGATGAAGGGGAGGGTCTGGGGCCTAGGGAGAAGGGACACCCCCAGGGCACCAGGAGAAGCTGGTGCGTAGGTCTGGGGTGGAGTAGGAACAAGCCAAAGGTGGCCTGGGCTGGTAGACCTTAGAGATCCGTCAGCCCGAGGCCGTCACTGCACAGACAGGCAGAAGGAGGCTCAGCAGGGGTGGGGATGGGCCAGGTAACATGGCGAGGCAGAAGGGCCATCAGCTCCTGGCTTAGGGTTATTCATGGGCCACACTGGTTGGGGGTGGTCAGCTCGGTGTGACTCTGAGATTGAGCTCCCTGGCCATGCCCAGATTTTGGGGGCTTGTCTTGTCCACAGGGATGTGCTGGGCCAGACAGATGAGAGCCCAACCTCTCACCAAGCAGCACCCCTAAACCCACTGTCATTCCATCTCAGCCCTTGCTGTATGTTCTTAGTCCCAGGACCCAGGCTGGGCTGCGATTGGAGGAGGAAGCCATGGACCCCGAGCTGGGGAGCCCACAGCCCAGCACAGAGCATGTCTGAGGACAGGATGGGTGCGGGTGGGAGGCTGTGCCATCATGTAATGTGTTCCACACAAAGTGAACTGGAATAGGGGGAATTTCCTCCAACACATGCTTATTCAGCACCTACTCAGTGCCAGGCTCAGTTCTAGGATCTCAAGACAGTGAACAGGATTTGTTTTAACTGGAGACTGGCCATAAAAAAACAACAACAACCTAATACATAATAGAATGTCAAGGAGGGAAAAGTGCGATGAAGAAGCACAGAGCAGGGTAGGAGTGGGCAGTTTCAACTGGTTATTCCACAGAGAAAACCCTGCTTGTGGTGTGAGTGATTTTGGCCAAGCCCCTGCCCGACTCCCTGCCTCTGCTTCTTTTGTTTATCCATTCCCCCTGGGTACAAGCGGATTCCTACCATGGACTCTCCAGATGACTAAGGTGGAGGAATCTAAGGATTGGGAAGGAGGAAGGCATTCCAGGCGGAAGGAGTGCCTTGGGCCAAGGCTGGGAGCTGGAGGATGCTCAGCACTCAGTGCACCGGCATTGTGAGAGGAGCTAGTGAGGCTGGCAGGGTCCGGACCCTGAAGCACCTCGAATGCCAGGCCAAGGAACTGACTTTATCCTGAGGGCAATGGGGAGCCACGGATGAGTTTTGAGCAGGAGATGATGAGGCTGGATTTGCTGCCAGTAGGATCCCTCTCTGGCTGCTGCATGGAGCATGGACTAAAGGCAGAGAGAGCGTGGTGTCAAGAAGCCCTCTGCTCTCAAGGTTCAAGGGGGAGAAGATGAAGTCCGAGGCTGCTGAAGGTGAGAAGTGGACAATGCCCAGGATGTCACAGAGGGATGGCAAGGACTGGACGAGAGATGGGATGAGAGCAGGGAGGAACAGTGATCTCGGGGTCCTGGCCCAGGTGACCAGCTGGCTGGAGGCGCCTTTGCTGAGATTGAGAGAGGAGCAGGCCTGGTGGAAGATGCAGAGTTCAGCTTTGGACATACCAGGGAGTGTCTGCCTAGGGCGGAGACAGGTCAGAGGGCTGGGGCCAGGCAAGTCTGGACAGATCCTCTCTGAGAAAGGTTCTCTGGATGACTTTGAAGTGTCCCAGGTACCCCCAGAACAGTCCCATGGCCCCAAGCAAGACAGGACCTGGACTTGGGCCCCAGAGAAGGGCAGGCAATAGGGACAGCAAAGGGTGTGACCAGGATGAAGGGGAGGGTCTGGGGCCTAGGGAGAAGGGACACCCCCAGGGCACCAGGAGAAGCTGGTGCGTAGGTCTGGGGTGGAGTAGGAACAAGCCAAAGGTGGCCTGGGCTGGTAGACCTTAGAGATCCGTCAGCCCGAGGCCGTCACTGCACAGACAGGCAGAAGGAGGCTCAGCAGGGGTGGGGATGGGCCAGGTAACATGGCGAGGCAGAAGGGCCATCAGCTCCTGGCTTAGGGTTATTCATGGGCCACACTGGTTGGGGGTGGTCAGCTCGGTGTGACTCTGAGATTGAGCTCCCTGGCCATGCCCAGATTTTGGGGGCTTGTCTTGTCCACAGGGATGTGCTGGGCCAGACAGATGAGAGCCCAACCTCTCACCAAGCAGCACCCCTAAACCCACTGTCATTCCATCTCAGCCCTTGCTGTATGTTCTTAGTCCCAGGACCCAGGCTGGGCTGCGATTGGAGGAGGAAGCCATGGACCCCGAGCTGGGGAGCCCACAGCCCAGCACAGAGCATGTCTGAGGACAGGATGGGTGCGGGTGGGAGGCTGTGCCATCATGTAATGTGTTCCACACAAAGTGAACTGGAATAGGGGGAATTTCCTCCAACACATGCTTATTCAGCACCTACTCAGTGCCAGGCTCAGTTCTAGGATCTCAAGACAGTGAACAGGATTTGTTTTAACTGGAGACTGGCCATAAAAAAACAACAACCACCTAATACATAATAGAATGTCAAGGAGGGAAAAGTGCGATGAAGAAGCACAGAGCAGGGTAGGAGTGGGCAGTTTCAACTGGTTATTCCACAGAGAAAACCCTGCTTGTGGTGTGAGTGATTTTGGCCAAGCCCCTGCCCTGACTCCCTGCCTCTGCTTCCTTTGTTTATCCATTCCCCCTGGGTACAAGCGGATTCCTACCATGGACTCTCCAGATGACTAAGGTGCGGGAATGTAAGGATTAGGAGCTGGAGGATGCGCAGCACTCAGTGGACCGGCATTGTGAGATGAGATAGTGAGGCTGGCAGGGTCGACGAGCTGAGACATCTCTGAGGGTCCCACCTGGCCTGGCTATCAGAAGGGCCTGAGGGGATGGCCAGGCCATGAGCCGCCTGGAAGACCAGCCTCTCCCACGAGGTCCAGCCCCACCCACCCTCTCCTGCCCATGAGACCCCTCCATCCAGGACCGCTCAGCCTCGCCTGGGCCTGGGCACTGCCCTAGGTCTAGTCTGGCAGGTAGAGATGATTCACCTGGGGGTGCCAGGATCCAGGAAAATGCCCGCAGTAGGGGTGGGGGTGTCAGAGCAGAAACATGGGGACGCACTGCCTTTCTCAGGCCCCTTCTGCTCTCCAGGAGGCCTAAGTAGTAGCCAAGGAGGTGCAAGGGGCCCAGGAGCTGGCCAGTGCCGGTCCGCTCTGGGTCTCGGTCTCCTAGTCCACACATCAGGGCGTGGTGGGCTAACGACCTTTAATGTTTCTTCTAGCCCTGGAGTCCCATTCTGTCAGAATGTCCCAGGACCGCTCTGATGGTTCCCTGGGGGCTCGAGGCAGAGGTGAGTGACAGATTCTGAAATGGGGGTGGGGGTGGGTGGGGAAAGGGTTGCCAGGTTTAGCAAATAAAACTATGAATTTCAGATAAGAAACAAATACTTTTTTAGTATAAGCATGTCCCAAATATTACTTATGCCAAAGAATTATTCATCATTTATCTAAAATTCAACTTTAACTGGGTGACTTGTATTTCATCTCCAGGTGGGGAAGGTGATTGGAGCTGGGACTTCAACAGCGAAAAGTCCTAGACCAGCGGTTCTCAACCTGTGGGGGTCGAACGACCCTTTCACAGGGGTCGCCTAAGACCATCGGAAAACACATATATAATTACAAATTGTTTTTGTGATTAATCACTGTGCTTTAATTATGTTCCATTTGTAACAAGGAAAATACATCCTGCATATCAGATATTTACATTACGGTTCCTAACAGTAGCAAAATTACAGTTATGAAGTAGCAACGAAAATAATTTTATGGTTGGGGGTCACCACAGCATGAGGAACTGTATTAAAGGGTGGCGGCATTAGGAAGGTTGAGAACCACTGTCCTAGACTCTCAGATGACCAGAGTTCTGGCCACTTACCTTGCTGCTCTTTGAGTCCCTTGCCCATGGACTTCTTGGTGTCTTGTTAGGAGATAGAGGGATGAGGGAGAGAGAACGAGGAGGTGGGGGAAACCAAGAACCGTGTAGAAAGGCAGAGAGGCCCCGAGGCTCTAAGAGGCAGCACCTGAACTCCTCCTGCCCTGAATTCAGCTAACCTCCCCACTGCTCCTCCCAATAAGGCAGGAAGGTCTTCATACCATCTCCGGCACAGCCCAGGATCATTCCTACCTCCACACCCTTGCTCTATTCCTGCCCCCCTCCCCTCCTATGCAAAATATACCCATGGCAGGAACCCTTTCTTGGATTTTCTTTAGCATCAGGACTGCCTCTTCTGAGTTCCCAGAGTGCTGTCAGACTCCTTGTCTGACACTGACATGGAGCCGTTCAACCAACTGAGCACCCTCTATGTGGCAGGCGCTGGACACACAACAGAGATCAGGACAGACACAGCCCCTGCTCCATGGAACTCACAGGCTAGCGGGGAGACAGATATACAGACAATCACAGAATGAGGAGATAATTGCCCTTTCACAAGGACTGAGGCATCCATGTGCCCGGAGGCATCACACAGGTGGGGCCCATGTTCTGCTTTATGCAAGTCCTACCACACAGCAGACTTCAATCAATATTAGTGGAAGAAATGAAAATGCTGAGGGAGAACCGAGGAGAGAGGGCCTCCCAGCAGACCTTCCCCATCGAGTTGGAAGAAGGACCTCCCAGATGGAGGGAAGAGCACAGGTGGAGGAGGCCTGGCATGTGCAGGGAACAACCAGGAGAGGAGTGTGGCTGGCATGGAGGACAGTGCAGACCAGACCGAGAGGTCACCATGCAAAGAGCCAGAACTGGGCAGCTCTGTCAGGTGCTGTGCACCCACGGCCTGGGAGGCTTCATATCAGGTGTGCTACTACTCACAGTGGCCTGGCCTGTGAGAGTCTACACTTCTGGAGGCAGGGGCTGGGCCTTCCTCTTCTCTCATGCCCTCTAGGACTAGGCTGAGAACCCAACACAGGACATGGATTGACAGAGAGCTGCGAGAGGGGTGCGCTCCTTGCGGCTGACTGAGAGAGCCAGGTGACCGCACTGTTCTCTCCTCTTGGGCATAGGCTGTTGCTGGGGAAATTTTAGATGATCATAGTCACTCAACAATATTAGGAAAGATGAGTGACTTTCTGCTCCTTGTGGGGGCCCCTGTGGCGTTTAGCATGAATGCCCAGGCCTTTCACAGCCATGGTGTGGGGTGGTGCAGTGACAGTGACAGGCGATGTCTACCTACCCGTCACTGAACCCCTACTGGGTGGGCCAGGCCCCCACAGACACAATCTCCAGTGCCAGATTTAAAATGAAGAAACTGAGGCTTAGGGAGTTAGGTGATTTGCTGGGGGAGTTTAGGCACTAGGTCAGCGGTTCTCAACCTGTGGGTCGCGACCCTTTGGGGGTCAAACGACCCTTTCACAGGGGTCACCTAAGACCATCGGAAAACACATATATAATTACATATTGTTTTTGTGATTAATCACTATGCTTTAATTATGTTCAATTTGTAACAATGAAATTGGGGGTCGCCACAACATGAGGAACTGTATTAAAGGGTCGCGGCGTTAGGAAGGTTGAGAACCACTGCACTAGATGTTTAGGCTAAGCCAGGATTTTAACCCAGCTTTGCCCAATGCTGATGCTCCAGCTCAATTACACTTAGCTGCCCTTATTTTTTAAAGTAATCTTTGAGCTGTTGCTTATTTTTGGTACTGAGAAAATTATTCCAGTTTTATGCCGTTTTAAAAAATATATTTTTTATTGATTTCAGAGAGGAAGGGTGACAGGGGGAGAGATAGAAACATCAATGATGAGAGAGAACCATCCATCGGCTGCCTCCTGCATGCCCTCTACTGGGGATCTCAACCCGGGCATGTGCCCTGACTGGGAATCAAACCATGACCTCCTGGTTCAGAGGTCGACACTGAACCATTGAGCCACACCGGCCAGGGTGTTTTATGCCATTTTGATCTTTGCTACTTACGTTGCAGAAGCCATCAAAGCTGTTGTTTATCCGTGAACCTCTGCAGTGGCCTTTGCCCAGAAGCAGTATAGGAAGAAAGGAAGGAAGGAAGGAAGGAAGGAAGGAAGGAAGGAAGGAAGGAAGGAAGGAAGGAAGGAAGAAAGAAAGGAAGAAAGGAAGGAAGGAAGGGATGAGGCTGGCTCCTCCTGGGGTTTACTGGCACTTTCCTGGGTGCCCCACCCTTCCTCCAGCCCACAGCCCTGCCCTGCCCTGAGTCATGCAGCAAGCCCAGCACTCTAGGCCCTGCACATGCAGCAGTGTTCCTGCTCTGCAACCAGGCTCACACCATCCTCCTCCACGTCACCCAGGAAGTACTCCACTCCCTCAAGGTATCCAACGGCCACTCCTAGGCCAGCTTCTTCCTGGGTGTGTGGTGTGCCATGTCTCCCCTGCTAGACTGTGAAAGCCTTGAGGATAGTGTGAACCCCAAGAAGGAATATATCTGCCAAGAAAGACTCCCCCTGGTAAACTGGGCCCAAATTCATAACCAGGGTCTAGCAGACAATATTGATGGAAGCTCCTCACACACTGTGTCTCAGGGGAAAGCTGCAGGCTGAGCTTTCAACCTCCAGCACTGGGCTTCTGCTGAGTCAACCTTGTTAGGGGAGTTCCTGGTATAATATTGACCAGTGGACTTAGGGACCTGATGGTCCGATGGGAACTGTGCAACTATATTCTCATTTGCACCTGTACTGACCAATCAGAACTGCTCCACAACAACCAATCAGAATGCACAGTTCTGACCAGTCAGGACTGTACTGTTTGGACCAATCAGTTATGAAAATTTAGATTCCTCATTTGCATAACAATGGACCAAACTGGGAACCAGGCTGGGAACTTTCTCCATAAAAGACAAACGTTTAGCATCCAACAGAGGCTGCATTTCCCTGTTTGCAAACTACTCGCCTGAATAAAATGTCCCCTCTTTCACACCTCCCATTGGGAATTTCTACTGACAACAGGGACCTTGCATTCTCCCATTTGCCTGCTCAATATGCACCTACTGACAGTCTTTGCAAAGAGTTCCCACAGTTTCCTGCTCCAACAGTGCTTGGATGGAACCCATGCTAGACCCCGACTCCAGCCTGCTGCTCAGAGCCAGCCCTCCACCACCTCCTCACAGGGCCCTTGGGCCACCCCAAGGCCCGCCCCGTACCCACCATGATAACCTAGACTCCCTCACAGGTGCACCAGAACTACCACTAGAACTCAGAGGCCGCCATTAACTGCCAGGTCAACCTGGCGCTCTGTGCCTCCTATGTCTGCCTGTTCACGTCTTACTACTTCCACTGAGATGACGTGGCTTTGAATCACTTTGTCAAATATTTTCTTCACCAATCTCATAAGGAGAGGGGACATGCTGAGAAACTGATGAAACTGCAGAACCAAGGAGGTGGCCAAATAATCCTTAAGGTGTGAAGAAACCTGACCGTGACGACTGGGAGGGAGGGCTGAATGCAATGGAGTGTGCGTTACACTTGGGAAAAGTGGGAATCAGTCACCACCAGACTCGTACCAACCAGCCACTGGCAAAGACAACCCTCATTTGTGTGACTTAATTGAGACTCATTATCTGAATGAGGTGAAATCTATCAAAGACTTGGGTGACCATGTAACCAACTTGTGCCAGATGGAGGCCCCCGAAATCTGACATGGTGCAGTATCTCTTTGACAAGCACACCCTGAGAGACAGTGATGAGAGCTAAACCTTTGCTGGCTGCCCATACCCACTGGGCTGACTTCCCTGGTCACCAAGGCAGTGAAATCAAGTTGGGGTTGCCTATACCGTCTCTACAAGTTGTGTCAAACAATCTACTTTTGTTCTTTCATTTATATCATTCCTTCAAATAATTTGGTAACTCCCCCCCCCCAAAAAAAAATAAGCACCTACTGTGTGCCAAGCACACTGCTGGGCACCAGGGTCCAATTGGGGCTTATATACCCTGAGACTTCTGACTGTTTTGCCACCCTGACTGTCCCTGGGTGTACCACCCAGGCCTCCTCATGGCCCAGCAACTAGAGGGGTCATGTCTGGCACATCACAGACACTCCAGAAACTCAGGCCACATCAATGCATGTCTTGGATCTCCTGGACCTCCCTGGGCTCCCTAGGTGTGTGCCTGGTGCAGGACTAGTCCTCACAGGGCAGTTTTATCACGTAAAACTGGTAAATGTAAGGTACTGTTGGGTGCAGACCACGCACGAGACCTTGAGAGCCACTCTACAATAGTCTCCCCACTGATAACCGCAGAGTGAAGTTTGGCCGCGAATAAACTCCCTTCCTTTTCTCCCACTGGCTCCGTGATCCAGCCCGCCCTCCCCTCTATTTGGCTTCTGTATCATAACGGACTTGTGGCCTTAGTGGCAGGTGCCACTTCCCTGGAGCCTGTGACCTTCTATCAGTTTCATCCTAGGACCTTGACGGAAGCCTGAGACCTTATACCATATACTGTGCTAAGTACATTCCATGAATTACCTCATCTCATCCTACAAAAATCCTATAAAATTGACATTATTAGTGTTCTTATTTTATAGTTGTGGAAACTGAGGGTCATCGTGTCTTCGTAAATTAAGAAGTGATGGGATCAGGATTTGAATCTAGGGTTGTCTATGCTAAACCATCCCTCTTAATTCCCCCTTAATTTCTACACTTCCCTGCA